GGTAGTGTGGAACGAGGGCTCTGCATTGTGGCAGCGCCATGAGCGCCCTCCATAGCCGGGCTGAGCTTGGACTTAGCTAGCGGAGGTGGTGGTGGTCTTCGTGGTAGAGGAAGAAGACGTGGGTGAAGAAGACAAGGATGAGCGGTGAGAGAGGGATGAGGATGATGATGTGAGGGGACATACCTGGTCTTGGCGATGGTCTGCATGGTGGACATCTGCATGTACTTCGGTTGCTGCTGCTGACATCAACAAGTTGCTTGTTATTTCGCTGCTAGTAGAGTAGCTGTCGGATAGTGGGCTGGGAGCTGTGCCAGCAGGAGGAAGAGCTATGATTGCAATGTTGGTGGTGGTGAGTATATGCTTTCATCGACAATCGAGTTCATTGCTTTGGTTCTCCTTCGGCGTAATATCAGTCCAATTCTGCTTTTTGGACAGCGTTCGACTATCTGGCTTTCGATGTGATTTGCAATCTGGAATTCTGTCATTTCGCAATTGCTCATTTTCCATGCAGTAAGGGGGAATACTAGGAAATGATTCCTGTTCATTCATTCATTTTTGTTTGTATTTAAATTTTAATTGATTATTTGAAGAGGAGGAGAAAGGGAGAAGAAGATGAAAGTGAGAAGAAGTGATGGGGAAGCCGTTGGTTTCAACATGTGTAAGTCTTTTTCATGTTCTATTCTCTTCATTTTGTTCCGCTATCCCTCTCCACTTCTTTCGATTCGTTTTGTTCCACTATCCCTCTTGGCTTCTTCTTTCGAGTTCAGCAAGTCTTGCGTTTTCTTGCAATTGTGTTTTGCATTGTGGATGTAGTAGGATCATAACAGAAGCAATCAATGCCACGGTCTCAGGATTCTCCAGCCAAAATGGGAGGAAGTGTGGAGTGTGCAAGGAAAATGAGCGATAGCGAACTTCAGAAATCAAACAGCATCATACACATGAGACCGGATAGTCGTGACCTCAAACCAATAGCAAAATTGCATCACGAGTTCCAGCAAATAAGAGCACAGCAAAAACTCATAATTGACAATGCTGGAATAGTCTCATCATCATCAACGAAGAACCAATGTCGATATCTACACCTACTATAAGAACTGCTAAACGTCATATCTCACGGCCTGAATCGCAGGCCGGTAACGCGCACGGACGGCCCAGATCGCGGGCCGATCAGAAAGTTTTCTGATCGGCCTGCGATCTGGGCCGTCCGCGGCGCGTTACCGGCCTGCGATTCAGGCCGTGAGATATCGGTACCTGAGGCGCCCGTTCGCCTGCCTGTCGGCCCGTAATCGTGGCCGCTCCCCCCCCCACCCCAACCTTTTCGGACCGTGACAGATCGGTACCGGAGGCG